AAAAAAAAAAAAAAGTAAAAAAATAAAAATAAAATAAAATAAAATAAAAAGAATCCCTGTCTTTACCAAAAACACAAAAAACTAGCTGGGCATGGTGGCAGGCACCTGTAATCCAGCTACCTGGAAGGCTGGGGCAGGAGAATCACCTGAACTTGGGAGGCGGAGGTTTCAGTGAGCCAAGATCACACCATTGCACTCCAGCCTGGGCAACAAGAGTGAAACTCTGTCTCAGAAAGAAAGAAAAAAAAATTCAAATCAGATAATGTCTGCTCTGCTCAACAGTCTCCAATGATTTCCTGTTTTCTCCCCCTCATTATTATTCATCAGCCCTCTGTTCTTCTTGCTGTTCCTTGAACATAACAAGTTCACTCCTGCCTCAGGGCCTTTGAACCCACTGTCACCCCTGCCTATAAATACTCTTCCTCTAAGCATTTGCCCAGATGAAATCTTCCACATTTCATCAGGTCTCTGATCATGTCATCCTCAGAGAGATCTTTACTGGTTAACCTATATTAAAATAAATTTTCTTGACTCTCCATTCCTTCACCTTGTTTTATTTTTCTTCATAGTACCTCTCATCACCTGATACTGTGTTACGTATTCATTTGCTTATCATCTATCTCCTATACTAGAATCTAGGTTGCATGAGGACAAAGACTTCATCAATTTTATTCACCATTATATCTCTAATGCCTAAAACAATGCCTGGGAGAACGCAGGTATTAAAAAGAGAGTTATCTGCTGAGTGAATGGGGACTGAGAGGAGAGGAGACTGGGATAGCAAATCAGATGGAACAGAATGTGTAATTGCATGAAGGTGTGCTACTGTAAGTGGGCAGGTATGGCTGCAGTATAGGGTGTGCATGGTGGGTGCGGGGAAGATGAGAAAGGCAGAGCCAGATCATGAAGGGCTGCAGGGCTTCTAAGCCATGCTCAAGATTCTGGAGACTCAAAGTGCTGATGTTCCCTGCTTTGTTATTATAGAGGCAAGACGGAAAGTGAAGGCTGTTAAAAAAGGAGAACATGTAGTTAGGAAAAGCATTTTTGGCTATTTTGAGGTTAGCTAAGTATCTGATTATAACTCTTGGCTCTATCAGGAAATGATGAGCTCTTTGAAGACGTGATTTTTTTGTATACCCAGCAGCAGGGCCAGCCTGGCACAAAATGGGTGTTCAGTGAGGTGTTGTGAGTGAATGAATGTTTGCATTACTAGTTTTTCTGCTTTCCAAAAGGTCACATGCATGTCTATTCTAATGATCAAGGGAAGAGATGCAAATGGCTTCTGAATACTATCCACTAAAATGGTCCAGACACAGGTTAATTCACAGTAAGATAAGTCTTTAATAATTTGATAATCATTAGTTTATAGCTCACTTAAACATCATACAGTGGCTGATAGAAAATCTAAGAATATAAAAGATTTTAAAAGTGTGGCCATGTTAATTACCAGGCAATTCAAACTCTTTTGTGAAAGAATCCAACACAGCCCAAAGGAAGACCTTTTTACATTCATACTCACTTGTCACAAAGGTTTGAATCTGGTGACTGACTCAATTTGTGTAGAATATCTACGATGCCCATGTCTCGTAATTTATCCTGGCGTTCTTGTGAACCTAAATGATTAAAGCCAGGTTACTGGAAATATGACCCAGGCAAATGCTCTGTCTGATGTAGAATCAACAATCTAGAGCCTTACCAGTGTCCTTCACTCCCTACTCCTCCTGTCCCTTTTGTCCTCCACCCTCTCCCAATGTAGTTGGGCCCAGTCATGCTTGGACTGACAGCCTTCTAACTCGGCTCTCTGCCTCCTGACCATCCTGCCTGAAGTCTATCCTGGGTTCTGCAGCTGGACTGATTTCTCCATGGACTACAGGGTCAAGGTTAGATTCTTCAGCCTGGTACAAGGCCCTCTGCCACCGATTCCCAGCTTCATCACTTCTCTCAGGACATACCCATGGCCCTGGTCAGGCCAGGCTGGCTCTTACTACTCCAAACAGGTCTTGTCTTCCCCTTTCTATTATCTTCTACCCTCCTCTGTCCTCCCAGCACTTTTTGTTGCCTCTCAGCACAACTGGCACTTCCAATTTCTTTCATATCACTCTGTTCTATCTTCCAACTAGACTAAGATCTCCTTGAGGGTGGCTTTCTCTCCCCCGTACAGACGGTACTTGGTATCTAGGTCTGTGGGCGGAATCCAGTTTCCCTTCTTGCACTTTGTTTTGGGCATAACTGCTGAGTAATCTCTGAAGTCTTCCCCACTGAAGAACCTACAGTGACCACTCATGCACTGGCTCTCTCTAGACAAAGTGAATCAGAATTTCTAGGGATGGGGCCCAGAAATCTGTACTTTAAAAAGTTCCCCAGGTGATTCTAATGCAGCCAACCCAGCCTTGAGACCCACTGCTCTTCTATATTTGTTTGCTACCTTGGCTATAAATTGGAATCCACTGGGGAGCTTTAAGAAACACTTATGCCTGGAGCCCACCCCCAGAGATTCTGATTTAATTGGTGTGGGGTAAAAATTCCTCAGATGATTCTAATATGCAGCCAAGGTAAAGAATCGCTGATCTATGCAGTCCTCCTTACAGACTACCAGCTTCACCAGTCACATTGCATTTCTCATTTCTCACCAATGCACCTTCTTCTCCATCATGCTTATCTGCCTGCAGTCCTCATATGTGCTTCCTCTGCTCATAACGAAAGGCTTATTCTCCCACCCACTCTCCCCTCTCACCTTCTTCGAGTGCATCTCACCATCCACCTCATCAGCTCTCTCATGGCAGGGACTGCCACTTACTTCTCACTCTCCCCCTTTGAATCTGGTATAGAGTTGGCTCCAATGGGGTGCTCAGTGTTGACTGTCCATCTGACTTAGGCTAGTTCCACTGATTTTCATAACAGGGCGACTCTGAAGGGTGCTTGGGCCAAGTGGTCCAAGAACAGAGTCTCTCCCCAGGATCTCAGGGGCACCTGCTGCCTTCCCTGTGCAAGACACTCTTCCTATAATTTTTTTTCAAAACAAATCTCACCAATCTCTTACCTTCCTCTTCATTCCATATGAGGTTTGATATACAAAACATGGCTGCAAGCTGCAGTTTAACATGTGAATGGCCCTATTAATACAGAAAAAAAAATAATAAAAATGGTGATAATCTCATTTTAGATCTTTTTTTGGAAGACCTACCATAGGCAATTCCTATAATCTAAAAGTCTGAAGCAGAGGCCTCAAACTCAAATGTCTTGAGGGGCCATGAATGAAAGGGCTGGGCTAAAGATAACAAGGGACAGTGGAGAATCTGGCAAATTGAGGAGTACAAGCCTTGCCAAAAGACATTCAAATTCAAATTTGAGAACACCATCTGGCTGGACAAACTAAACACCTCTAGGGCTATAGGTATAGTTTGCCATTTATGATTCAGTCCATGCACAAAGAAACACTGTCATTTGACAATTTTATGCTTTCTACTTAGGCTACGTTTCCAGGTCACCAGCAGCCAATATACAATGGGTGGATTTGCATTTGGTATTGATCTCTTAAGCTACTGGTTATCTTATTCAAATGGTCCAATAATTCCTTTGGGGAAGGAAGTGAATATATGGTCAGAAAATTCTGTAACACCCAGACTTTCACACACACACAATCTTTAAATGGTTTACTCCTCTGACACAACTTGCTATAAACTAGAAGCATTATATAATATATTCAGCTTCTGGAATAATTAAATTACTCTTATTTCTGTAGGAACATCCCCAAAAACTTGATGAAATCTCCAGCTGATTTCTCAAATGTCTCTTCTATCACTAAGGGGCCTCCTAGTCTTCTAATACAATTCTTATTTATTTTGCTTTATGTACTGAAAGTACAACCATTTCTGGTTGCTTTGGATCATTTATCCACATAGAGTGCTTGCACCTGAATGAGAGGACCCAATAATAAAATAGTAATTTTTTTTTTTTTTTTTTTTGAGACGGAGTTTCACTCGTTACCCAGGCTGGAGTGCAACGGCATGATCTCGGCTCACCGCAACCTCTGCCTCCTGGGTTCAGGCAATTCTGCCTCAGCCTCCTAAGTAGCTGGGATTATAGGCACATGCCACCATGCTCAGCTAATTTTTTGTATTTTTAGTAGAGATGGGGTTTCACCACGTTGACCAGGACGGTCTCGATCTCTTGACCTCGTGATCCACCTGCCTTGGCCTCCCAAAGTGCTGGGATTACAGGCGTGAGCCACCTCGCCTGGCCCAGTTTTTTTGAGACAGAGTTTTGCTGTTATTGCCCAGGCTGTAGTGCAATGCCACAATTTCAGTTCACTGCAACCTCCGCCTCCTGGGTTCAAGCGATTCTCCTGCCTCAGCGTCCGGGATAGCTGGGATCACAGGTGCACACCACCACGCCTGGTTAATATTTTGTATTTTTAGTAGAGATAGGGTTTCACCATTTTAGTCAGGCTGGTCTCGAGCTCCTGACCTCAGGTGATCCACCTGCCTTGGCCTTCCAAAGTGCTGGGATTACAGGCATGAGCCACCACACCCAGCCATAAAATAATTTTTGTAGTCATTGTTCTATTTGGTCAATTTAAAACATTTCTACTGTGTTTAAATAATTTATGCACATCTGAGGAAATATCAATGGCAAAGTATGCTCAGTGGTTTTTTCAAGGCTAAGACAGACTTATCTTCTCATGTAGGACTATATTTCAGCTAAGCAGAGACAAAGAACTGGATCTGGCTTCCTTCAGTAGAATTCTATGGCTAGTGATTCTTTCTTCTACCTGCCAACACTTTTAAGGGGATGTTCAGCTTGGGCTCCCTTAAGACAAAACAGGATAAAACTTATCTATTCCCAGCCTCAGATAATCAATCAATATTTGTTGAATAATAAGTCTGTATATACTAAAACAAATATGCATTTACTTTGCATAAGTTTATTCATCATTCATTCCACATTTTTTGAGGACACACATTACTATGACAATAGAGAAAATTGGAGGTTGGAGGGTGGCAACTTAATTTAGGCGGAACGCACAAACAGATCTCTTTGAAGAAGGCAATATTTAAACGGAGACTTAAAGAACAGGAAGGTGCCAGATGTGCAAACAGCAAGGGGCTTGAAATTCCAAGGAGGAGAAAAATTTCCTGAAAAGGTCTGGGTAAGAAAGAGCTGTCTGTTCAGAAAAGTAGTGTAGCCAAATTGTGCGAACTTGCAGGCCACAGTTAGGACTCTGGATTTCATTGTGTTTAGAGGAAGCCCCTGAAAGATTTAAACAGTGGAGGGACAAGATCTGATTTACATTTTTTAGAAGACCCTTGGGTTGAAGGAATTGTCGTGACAGTGAAGAAGTGTCTAAGAGGATACTGTTATTATAGTTTATCAGGCATGAGGTGCTGTGACTTGAACTGACTAGGGTGGAGGCAGTGGTGATCGAAAGGAGTAACTGGATTCGAGATCAGTTTTGGAGGAAGGGCAGATAGGACTTATTGATAAATTGGGTGAATGAGGGGACAGAGCTGGAAAAATCAAGACAAACTCCAAGGTGTTATCAGACAGCCACATGGAGATGCTGAAAGGGCAGGAAGATACATAATGTCTGTACGTAAGAACCACCCAGGAGCCGGGCGCGGTGGCTCAAGCCTGTAATCCCAGCACTTTGGGAGGCCGAGGCAGGTGGATCATGAGGTCAAGAGATCGAGACCATCCTGGTCAACAAGGTGAAACCTCATCTCTACTACAAATACAAAAATTAGCTGGGCATGATGGTGCATGCCTGTAGTCCCAGCTACTCGGGAGGCTGAGGCTGGAGAATTGCTTGAACCCAGGAGGTGGAGGTTGCGGTGAGCCGAGATCGTGCCATTGCACTCCAGTCTGGGCAACAACAGCAAAACTCCGTCTCAAAAAAAAAAAAAAAAAGAACCACCCAGGAATCTTAAAAAAAAAATCCTGATGCCCGGGCTATACCCAGACCTATTAAATCAGAATCTTGGGAGTGATAAGACAAAGCGGTAATCTTTGAAAGCTCCCTACAAGGTCATATTGTACAATGAAAGTTGTGATCTGCTGATCTCAGGAGAGCACCTGTAGGAGAGAAGAGAAGAGGGTCCAGAGTAAGCAGGGAGGTATGGTGTTATGCAAACCAAGAGAAAAGGATGTTTCCAGGAGGAGGAACTAGTTAGCTGGGCTGCAATCTGCTGTAAGTGGGTAAGATGAAGAGAGAAAAGGATCCTTTGGATTTCGCATCATGGAAGTCACTGTTGACACTAATTATAAGAGTTTCAGTTGAATGATGGGGGTAGAGGTGAAATGAAGCAGGTTAAAGAATGACTTTAGAGGTAAAGAAGGAGACAGTATGTGCAGAAAAGATGGTAAGAAGTTTGGCTTTGAAGGCCAGGCACAGTGGCTCATGCCTGTAATCTCAGCACTTTGGGAGGCCAAGGTGGGTGGATCATTTGAGGTCAGGAGTTTGAGACCAGCCTGGCCAACATGGTGAAACCCTGTCTCTACTAAATATACAAAAATTAGCCAAGTGACAGTGATGCGCCTGTAATCCCAGCTAATCAGGAGGCTGAGGCAGGAGAATCACTTGAACCCAGGAGGCGGAGGTTGTGATGAGCCAAGATATGTCACTGCACTCAAGTCTGGGTGGCAGAGTGAGACCTGTCTCAAAAAACAAAAATAAAAAAAGAAAGAAATTTAGCTTTGGCTTTGAATAACAGAGAGAAATGGGTATGCCTCAATGGGTATAAGAAGTTAAGGAAAACTTTTTAAGTGATTAGGTATACAATGTGGACTGGTATTGAAAAGATAACAGAATCTGGTTGGAAGTGGTAAGGTTTTCATTCAACAAATATTTCCAAGCATATGCAAAGGGCCAGACACCATGGTGGATATACAATTGCGCACAAAGCTGACGTGGTCCCTGCCCTTGTGGAACTTACACTGTGGTAGAGCCACCCAGTAGGCACACAAATATACAGCACAAAAACTGAGCTAAGGAAGTTTGTTCCCTTCCTTCCCTCTGAAGGAAGGGAACAAAATGCAGTAATGAGGAATAATCTACAAGGACAAGAATCCAGTAAGAAAGTATAAGTTCAGCTGAGATTTGAAGGGAGAGATGGAGAGGAAAGTGCTCCAGGCAGAGAAGCCAGCATGTGTGAAAGTCCCAAGGAAGGAAAGAGCATGGCCTTTTTGAGAAACTGCAAGCAGCCAGGGTAGTGAACAAAGGAAGACAGGAATAAGATAAGTTGGGGATATAAATGGGTTAGGTCATGTAGGACTTGACAGGCCATCATAAGGGCATATGAACTTTATTCAAGGTATAACAAGGAGCCACTGAAGGATTTTAGTTTCTCTTAATAAAACAAAAAGCTGAGGTCATCACTAACTGTAATAGGGGAGGGAAGATGTGAGATCTAAAGGATGAGGGGCAGGTAAGAATCTATTCTCATAGAGAATGAGGGTGCCAGCTTCTTAGAGAATCACCGAAGGATAACAGGAGAGGTGGAGTGCCCATGTGAGGTACTGTGCCTTTCTCTGCAGTTGTTAACTCTGACATGGCAGGCAAAGAGAAGACAGATTGGTGTGGCAAGGGGAGGCTTCCTCCATGGTTGGAATTTTGTCAGGAGATGTTGACAGAATGAAAAGTGGAGGGCTGTTTAATACCCAGATTTTGGCAACGGGCAGTCTCTGGTGATGATCAGATGCAGGGTATGGCCATGGCAGCAGGTAGCAGATTATTTAGAAGCAAACAGGTAAAGGAACTATGGTGCCAGAGGGCTAGACGGTTCATCCACCATGGGACTGAAGCCTTGAGAGGGAAGACAGGGCACTGAGAGAAAGCCAAGAGCCCAGGTCTTCACTGGTTAAGAGGGAGGCAACCAGTAGACGACAAGGGCAGGGAGTGGAGTGGCAGGTAATATTACCATGTGGCACAAGTTTCAAGGAGTTGGTGTTTTTTCTTTTTCTTCAGGATGGAAGAGAGTTCCTTCAATCTGAGGAGTCACATAGTAATCTGTTCTTTTCCTCTTTTTAAAATCTCCGCACAATTTATTTTGAGTTAACAATAAAACAGTCCCTGCATTCTAATCCTGAAGTGAAAGAGGACAAGGGCTCACCATGTAATACTTGATTTTCTGTAGGATATCATCATTGGTCATAATAAGATCTTTTGCTGTTGTCCCATCCGCTATGTTGGCTAAGATACACAGTGTCTGGAAAAGAACAAAGGGCCAACAGTCAGGAAAGTTCTGAAGTCCCAGAGTCAAGCTCTCTCAAGAGTTTGGGCAATTTCTCATTTGAAGGTACATGGATTCTCACAGGTTCCACTCTCAATGCCCTGATTTCTCATCTGCTGACATTGCTAATAACAGTAACCACACCCGAACAAATCTACCTTAGACAAAAGAGAACCCCAACACTTTGGTGGTTTCTTGCTGGGCATTAAGCCATAGCTGTGCAAAAGCAGCCATTTGGTATAAGTCATACTATCAATCAAAGAGAAAATGTAATTTATTATTTTTTTCTTGAAAATCTCATTTCCAAGAGAAACTCTCGTGACAAACCACAATGTTCCTTCAACAAAGTAGTCTCTTTGGTGGAAGCTCTGAAGGTGTTGCAACTCCCCTGCTAGGGAGGTCTCCCTTTTCTATGCCTCCACCTGCTACTTGCTCCTAAGCTCATGAATCTGCAGTCTTTTTGGTTATTCTCTCGTGGAAAAGATCCTATGAAGGGGCAGACATGAGCATGACAAGTGTAATTAACAGATGTAATTAGTTTGGGGAAGAGCTGACAGTCAATGTTTTAGGAGTCAAGTTCAAGATGACATCAGAACCAAGTGATTTATAGTTTTATAGTTGCTCTCTGCACATTCTAGCCCCTCCTGAGCCTACAGGATAAGGTAATTAAATACAATGAGTGTTTTTTTTTTTTTTTTTTTTTTTTTTTCTGAGACAGTCTCACTTGATCGCCCAGGCTGGAGAGTTTGTCATGAGAGTTTCTCTTGGAAATGAGATTTGGTACGATCTTGGCTCACTGCAACCTCCATCTCCTGGATTCAAGCAATTCTCTCTGCTTCAACCTCCCAAGTAACTGGGATTTCAGGTGTGCACCACCAAGCCTGGCTAATTTTTGTATTTTTAGTAGAGATGAGGTTTCACCATGTTGGCCAGGCTGGTGTCAGATTCCTGATCTCAGCTGATCCGCCTGCCTCAGCCTCCCAAAGTGTTGGGATTACAGATGTGAGTGACTGTGCCCAGCCTACAACAAGTATTCTTTCTCTCCCCATCTCCATCACGTCTTGACTTGCAATCCAAATGTGGCAACACTGGACTCACAATACCACATTCTTTCCAGTTCTGCTTGAATTCCTTCATGTGATTATAGAAAGCCTTAGCAAGCTTTACAATAACCCCACCTTCTAAGAGCAAGCTAGCAAAATGATATTCATCAGTGGTAGTGATCCAATCCTCACCAACCAGCCTCTGCCAGGCTTTATTAAGACAAAATCAAAATGCAAAAGGTGAGACCAATCAATGGGAACAATGGTAAAACCTGGCTGGGAAGCAGGAAGGAGGCAGCACATGGAAGAATCATAGTTTATTACTCTCTTGTTCTCCATCTCCCCACCATTTCTCACCAAAAAGACTCAGTCCTATGAGTTGGCCAGAGCACCTTAACAGGAAATAATGGAAATGATCCTAACTATGAATAAGAATTTTAATAAGGCTTCATAAACAAGGTATTCATGGAGAGAGGAGAAATGGTAAACACCTTTAGACTCACCTAGAAAACAGCTACCTCCCCTTACCCACTAAGACAGAATATAAAGGGGAATTTCAGAGATGATCCCTCAGAATAGACCAGGTCAGCAAGACAGGTGAGTGACTCCCCTTTGTAGTGTTAGAATACACCCATGCATCCCCAGGTTTGAACAGCATGAAAGAGTGAGGACCAGTTCTGTTTTGAAGCTCACAAAACCCCTCTGTAAATATTCCTATGGAGACAAGAAATCAAATCTTAAAGAAATCAATTAGGCCGGGGACGGTGACTCATGCCTAATCCTAGCACTCTGGGAGGCCAAGGCAGGTGGATCCCAGGGACAAGAGATCAAGACCATCCCGGCCAACATGATGAAACCCTGTCTCTACCAAAGGTACAAAAATTAGCTGGGCATGGTGGTGCATACCTGTAGTCCCAGCAACTGGGGAGGCTGAGGCAGGAGAATCATGTGAACCTGGGAGGCAAAGGTTGCAGTGAGCTGAGTTTGCGCCACTGCACTCCAGCCTGGCAATACTGTGAGACTCCGTCTCAAAAAAAAA